GGTCATAATGTCCAATTCATACTATTATCTTTCCTATTTGCAGTCCCACTAGCAATGTATGAGTCTATCTCCCCACCCCCACATTCTTGCCAGCATTTATTGTTGCTTGTATTTATAATAATTGCCTTTCTGAGTGGAGTGAGATGAAACTCACTACTCAATATAGTTTTGATTTGCATTTTCCTAATTGCTAGAGATGTTGGACATTTTTTTTCATATATTTTCTATCAATTGTATTTCTTCTTCTGGGTTGGGGTTAAAGTAAGTGGGAAATACTGAAGTCTCTGTGCCCTCAGAATTAAATTAAATTAGAATTTATGAGGCAAGTGTGAAGTCAGTATTTTAAAAAAGTTCTCCAGATTGTTCTATGAGTAGGAGGTTGAGACCACTTGGTTCAGAGCATTATGCCCTGCTCTGCTGTGTCTGTTCCCTCTACGGGCACAATACTATGCTCTCAAACACAGGAAACAGAGTGGAGCAGAGAAAGTTGCTTTTGTTATTTCCTTTGAACAAAAGAGATAGTTGGATTAAAAAAAAAAAGGTCCTATTTTCACTGTTTCTTGCTTAACACTCCTGAGTGTGGTCATAACATACCACGCTTTTAATGCTTACTGTGTGGTCCCAAATGTTCTGCAACATTGTTATTTTTGAATTTTTTTTTTTAAATTTTTAGGTGCAAGATAAACCAGGGAACTTTCTGAAAATTCCTGGCATTCAGGTTGTTACATAAGCCCCTACTCTCCATTTCTACCAAAGCTGATGGATTTTGGGGCAACGCTGGCTGCCTCCATATTTAAGAAATGGCCCCAGGTAGTTCTCATTTCCTGGTAAGTTCCTCAAGGAAAATCTAGAACTACTCAGGAACTAATAGCCTTCCAGTGACAACACTATACATTTTACAGCATCACAACCCATGTTGTGTGTGGAACTCACACAAAAGCAGAGATATTAGTTACCATTTAGCACACCAAAGAGGTAACTGAATAGAAAACACTCCAGCTCTCCTGAGCTGATGTAAGGACTTTCCCAACATCCTGATCTATGCCCCTGGAGACTATCTAGCCTAGAGAAATAACTCCTGAATTCTAAGCAGCCCTGATTTACCTCTGTGTCTCGGGCAGCTTTGTCTTAATTGTCTTTAAGACTAATCTATGCATTTTCTGCAGCAAGAAAGGCTGAACTGACTAAGGTACTACTATTCTTTTCCCAAAAGGTACAATTTGTTTTCCTAACTCAAGAGTATTTTGTTTGGTTGTCTGCTCATTTTTACATGATCAGTTTTGGCAATTTCCAAACTATAGATTGGCAGCAATAAATATTAGTGAGTCTGTCTTTTTATTTTTTAAAAAAAGAAATTATAAAGAGAAAAGAATATTTTTCTTCAAAATAAAGAAATATTTAGAACACACACACATACACATAAGAATGCTAAATATACACACACATACACACAAGAATGCTAAACATTTTAAGACTTAGAGAAAATTTTTTTCTCAGTATAATATTTTAGGTAATATTATCAAAGATTCTCTGCTCCATTTAGCTTAATGGTCGTGATGGAAATGATAAGAATCAGTCTTACCTTCAGAAATTAGCAGGAGAAAAATGACAATTGAGAGAGAAGATGCGAGAAATGTACGGGAGTTCCTCATTGTGGCTGGCGTCCCACATCAATCAACATGAAAATCTGTTTTCAGCTCTTGACTACTTCTGTCTTATATAACAGAGTTCAAAGGATGTGGTTTCCTTCCCTCTCTTTCTTTGAAATTTCAAAGTTTACATTAGAAAAGGAAACTCAAGTGAGAGCAGCCAGTGAAGGTGGCCAGTGGGCATGCTGCCAAGGGAGAGCATCCTACTCCACAGACCAGGGCGTCAGGGAGCCACATTCCCATCAGAACACAGCACACCAGAAGGGACTTCAAAGTGTCTCAGCTAAGATTTTAAATCCCTTTTCATCATCAGCAATATTAATTTTAGTATCCATGAATGAAAGTTTTTTTTAAGACTTAAAAATTAGAGTTTTTAAAAAAATCCTTAAATTGGTCACTAATCAATTTTTTCCTAGCTATCTCCTTGGGTTATATAAGAATTAGTAGGTCAAGTGCAAGAGGAGGTCAGGGGGAGGCTTATGTCCACTTAAGCTCTTGCCTTGATTTCTCTTCCCTGCTTTGGGAAGAATGGTTTATTGTGCTTCTACCTAGAGTCTGTGGCAGGCTTGGGGTCTTGGGATGGTGGTGTAGGAACTGCTGGTCCTTTTCAGCCCTCCTGTGTGCCTACACTCATTTTATGGTCACAACTCTAGATACTAAAGGTATGTCGAGTTTTCCTCCCTACCTATTTCTTTTATTTCTTCCCTCCCTCCCTCCCTCCATCCTTCTTTCCAGATTTAGCTGAGAAGGAAAATGGGAGTTGGACATGAATATTTTGTTCCAGGACTGGAGAATGTCTCACTCTGAAAAGAATCAACCTCAGTCCCTGGAGGAACAGTTTTGGATATGCTTGCTATCCGAATGCCTTAGCCTTTTCTGAGCAGAGGTTGTGGTCTGGAGACCACATGTGATACCTTACAAGGGAGCCTTTTGGAGACCCCGTTTCCTTTTTCCAGATCTTACTACGGTATCAAAGTTTAATCATTTTCAGTACAGGGAGTGGGATACGCTTCTGGTTTTGGTGAGTAATTTTAGTGCACTTTTAAAAAGTCAAACTTTAATTGACTGCACCTACTAAAAATTTCTTAAAGGAAACATTGACAATTCTGGTTTTATGTGCCTGCCTGTGGTTGCCATTTTCCATTTATGTTGATTTTAACAGCTTTATGATATAATTTGCATACCATAGAGTCCATCTATTTAAGATGCACATTTTGATGGATTTCAGTATATTTACAGAGCTGTGTAAATAAACTAAAACACCATAATCTAATTTAGAACACTTTCACCATCCCCAAAGAAGACTTGCACCTCTTCTTAGCTGTCATTCTTGTTAGGCAACTTCTAACCTACATTCTGTAGATTTGCCTATTTGGACATTTCAAAAAAATAGAACCATATAGAATATAGTCTTTTGTGACTGACTTTTTCATTTAGCATAATGTTTTTGAGGTTCATCCATATTGTAACATATATCACTACATTTCCTTTTATTGATGAATAATATTCCATTGAATAGAAATAACATTTTATTTATTCATTCTTCAGTTGATGAATGTTTGGCTTATATCGACTTTTCAGTTATTATGAATCTGCCTCTAATTGCTGGAGAGGTTGGACATTTTTTCATATATTTGTTGGCCATTAGTGTTCCTTTTTTTGAGAAGTTTCTGTTTAGTTCTTTTGCCCATATATTGATTGGATTATTTGGGTTTTTTTTTGTGTTAAGTTTTTTGAGTTCTTTATATATTGTGGATATTAATGCCATATATGAGGAGCAGGTGACAGAGATATTCTCCCATTCTGTAGGCTTTCTTCATGCTCTCAATTGTTTCCTTTGATGATCATGTATACAAGTTCTTAATACAGATAATGTTTTTTTATTTCTCTTGGGTTTATATCTAGGAGTAGAATTACTGGGTATCTGAGTAATTACATAGTAAGTATATATTTAGCATTTTGAGGAACTTCTGTTTTCCAAAGTGGCTGTGTAATATTATATTCTCACTAACAATCAATGAAGGTTCTAATTTCCCTATATTATACCAATATTGGTTTTTTTTTGATAACTGCTATTCTAGTGGTTGTGAAATAGTATTTCATTGTGGTTTTGATTTACATTTCCTTAATGACTAATGGTATTGAACTTCTCATGTGCTTATTTGCATTCATATATCTATGGTAAAATATCTATTCAAATCATTTGTCTGTTTCAGAATTGGGTTATTTATCTTTTTATTATTGAGGTATAAGTTCTTATATATTCTGTGTTCTTTATTTATTTATGTGATTACAACTCATATGTAAATCCATTATAACATATATGATCTGAGGAGGTGATTAGGATGCTTTGTTATATTTTCTTCAGAACCTGAAGTAGGTATCCTCTTATTTATGTCTCTCCCTCATCTAGACCTGGAGCCTTTGAGGATGGTGATCATGACTTAGCCCCCTCTGAATTTACAGAGCTGGGCATAGTGCCTGGTGCATATGAGCCCTTAAGAAATGTTTGATGAATTAAATTGGACAAATCAGAATCATTAAAGTGTGGCTTTATTGTAAGTTAGCTCTTTGGAGAAAAAGCAAAACAAAAAGATACAAATGGTAAATGGTAAAAGAAGTCAGTTTTCTTTGCTGTGTATCAATTTATTAACATAGAACTAAGTTTAGTGCTCATGTATAGAGCCAAGACCCAATCCACTTCTTTCTGTAAGTTGAATGAACTGAGGCCTACTGGCAGATGAAACTTTATTCTATTTGTAACTAATAAATGATACAATTTCCCTGAACTATTGCTTGCTTGAAACTTCACATTTTTCAAATATCTAAAACATACACTGAATCTTTCTTATTGTCTTATATTTAGAATTTAGTAAAAAGTTCAAATATATAGAAGTATAAAGTAAGAAATAAAAATACCCCTCCATCTCTTTCATAATTCCATATTGAATAAAATCTCAAGCTCTAAATTCTAAGGGTCACAGGAATTTTGGAAAGTTGAAGTATATTCTGTTTTTATCTGGGATCAGATTCTTTTCAACAGCAAATACAGTAGGGAAAGTCCTCAAATTTTGAATAAAGCAAGGGGTTTCTGAATAGAGGAACTTTTCCCCAAAGGATGTCTCTTGCTATGGAAAGAGAATAAGTGTGAAGAAGATGCAATCTCAGCAAAGCATGCTGGAGTGACGGCAGGAAGCCACTTCTTTGACTGATGGCTCTTCAGACAGATTATAATTCACGCACAAAGTTGGGAGGCTCTCTGAGGTGCTTCTTAGGACAGGTCAAGGTTAAGCCCCCTTTTCTTGGAGTCTCCTGGAAGTCACCTCAGATGTCTGTTTTGAAGAAGCCATGTCATATGGCTCCTGCAATGGTTTTCTTTATCCAGTTGAGATATTTGTTTGTAAGGAGAATGTAGACACCAGGTTTCTTGGAGTTACCACATTTTCCAAAGGAAGTGACACCAATGAAAATGTTATTGCATATCAGAGGACTTCCAGAATCCCCCTAGAATAGAAAGTCATGTATTAAATAAGAGTGCTTTCCTGATATATTTGTTTGCCATTTTATTTGTTCATTCACATTTCACCTATGTCTTCTATTTCTCTTTCCTATTTAAGCATAATTTTATTTTATTTTTTTATTTATTTCTTACATACATGACAGTAGTGGAATGTATTACATTCATAATTATCCATTCATAGCACAATTTTAACTCTGCATGTAAAGTATGTTCACGACAAATTATGCCATTATACATGAGCTCTCATTGTTTTTTTGCATTATAATTCTTAATACAGCTTTATACCACAATTTATCATATCTCTGATTGTATATAAGGTATGTTGACACCAAATTCACATCTTCATACATGTATTTTGTATAATGATGAGGGTTTCCTTTCACCATCCTTGATATTCCCCTTCTCTCTCCCTTTCCCTCCCACCCCTATTGTCTATCTAGATTAAACCTAATTTTACTTGCCTGTACTTAGCACCAGTTAACATAACTATGCTTATTTTACCCAATCATTTTTCCTTTTGAAGAAGGCAATTCTGGAGATGTGCAAACTCATCTTCATCAATAAAACCAAGAAAGAGGGCTAGGGTTGTGGCTCAGTGGTAGAGTGCTTGCCTAGCATGCATGAGACGCTGGGTCAGATTCCCCGGACCACATTAAAATGAAATGAAATGAAATGAAATGAAATAGTATTCTGTCCATCTACAACTAAAAATCTGTAAAAAAATAAAAAAAGAACCAAGAAAAACAAAGAAATCCTTTAGTGATGAAAAAAATTGTTTCTTTCAGTTGATGCATGTCCTTTTTTCTTGGTCAATAGATGTCTGGGGGAGAAACTGAAGGTTGGGGCTACTAGAAGACTTGAGTTGGGACCTCAACTACTCCCTGTTCTGAGGAGGGCACTAGCTAAGCCAGTTCAGACAGAGAGTATCTGTGATATTTCAGACAGTTTTTAGCGATCCTCCACCTGGCCCAGAGATCATCAGCTCCTATTTATATATTCTCTCTGACCTGACAAGCACCTGTGCTTAGTGAGTTCTAAATAGGTTGAAACCTTGGTCAAGTCTGTTCTTGGCACAGTAAGAGGCAGAACAGTGCAGGTGTCAGGAGACAGACAACCTTGGTTAAATCCAGGTGCAACCTCTGATAGCTGAGTTATTTAACTTGGGGAAATCAAGTAACTTTTTTTTTCTTTCCCAAAAAACTTTTTTTTTAAAGAGAGAGAGAGAGAGAGAGAGAGAGAGAGAGAGAGAGAGAATTTTTTAATATTTATTTTTTAGTTTTTGGGGGACAAACATCTTTATTTTACTTATATGTGGTGTTGAGGATCAAACCCAGTGCTCCGCGCATGCCAGGTTCGCGTGCTACCGCTTGAGCCACATCCCCAGTCCCCAAAACTTTCATTTTTAATACAACATAGTAATCAATCTTTACTTTTTAAAAAACATATTGAAATAAAGCCTGGAGTGAATAAAAAGTTTAGGGGAAACTCTTTGGATATATCTGAGTGACAAAGGAGTGCTATTTTTGTGACAATATAATCATTCATTCCAGCCAATTTACTTAAGAGAGCAAATCTACAATAAATAAAATAAGTTATCTTTGAGAAAAAGACTGTAATCTAATCAGGATTAGGAAATTAAGTAACTTTCTACACCTTTTTCTTCATCTTAAAACAGATGATAATAGTGCCTATCTCATGGTGTTATGTGAGAATTAAGTGGCATATCAAAGTGTTGTTGAATTTGGTACAGTTCTTTGTTCTTACTCCGGAACTAACTATTCTCTAGCAGCAAAACTGTCACCCATCATGATTAAAACCATATACAGAAAGTGATCCTTAGTAAGCTGGGAACACCCTCCAGCAGAGGGTTTCACAAGGCACCAGGCAGCACGATACCATACCAGTGTCAAGCTGTAGTCCTCAGGCCTTGTACATGAAAGATAATAACAACTTCTGCCTCGTTCTTCTTAGGTACTCTTTTACCCTTTTATTTCCTGGTTAAAATTTTTAATTTACTTACTTCACATGAATCATCTTCACCTTTGCTACCACCGGCACAGATCATACTGTTCTCAATAATTGGCTTGAAATTATAGTGCTCTGCATCATTGCATATTTTCCGGTCTATCACAGTGACATTGACTTCTCTCAAGACATGTGAAACTTTGCAAGAGTCTTTTTTGGTGCTTCCCCATCCTGCCACATGACACTTGGTGTGGGGTTTGACATCTTCTCCTCTTTTGGGTAGCTGAAGTATTCCCACAGCTTTGCTCATAGTTGCTTTACCTTTCAGCTAGAAGACAGGAGATGGAGTTGTTTATGCTCCAGTGAGGGAGGCAGAGGAACAACACAGCCTAAACTCTAACTGAGGGTATTAAATATTTTGGGTAAAAGTGCAGAAGGGACTGAGGCCAGGTGGGGCAGGAGGGGAGCTACCTTTGCTACCCAAGAGGGAGTAGTGTCTGGGGGCATGGAGGAGGAGCAGAGGCCTGAGGGTGAAGCCAGGCCTGATGGTCTCCAGGTGGATACTGAGGAGGGCTAGGTTGTCAGTATTGGGGGCAAGGAACGTGGAGGTTTTGTCAGAGGTGCATGAGTCCCAGGGCCCTCTGTGCTTCTGATGATGAGGGTGCACGAAGGCCCAGGAAATCCTTCTGCTCATGCTCCATCTTCCAGAGCTGTCTTCCTATTCCAATTTCTGCACAGCAGCCAGAATGATTATTCTAACAAGTCTGACAATGTTGCTACCCTGCTTAAAACACCTTCCCATTTCCTTCCCCATACCTTTCAGACTCTTAACAAGGTTTGCAAGGCCTGGCTTTGTTGTCTATATTCTGCTAACTTCCTTTTCTCAAAATTCATAACTCCCTTTTCTCTCCTCTTCCTCCAAGCGACCCCTCTTATAATGCTGTTCTTCCTTCTTGGGGGCCCTCCCCACTTTTTTCCTGGCTGCCTAGGAAACTTTCTCTGACCCCCTGCTCTCCCCATGTACCCCCATAGAGCCCTCTTCTTTATCTTTGTCACTGATGAGCAAAATGCCATCAGTGCCTTAAGATCAGAGCTGGTGATCTGTCTGTCTTTCCCTCTAGTATTGAGTGCCTTCAGGGGAAGTTCTGATTACTATTTATCTTCTGAAAAAGAAAAAAGCAGGTTGCCACTAACAGCTAAGCACTCAGAACTGGGTCTCTGCTTTTCCGGTTGCTCATAAATACAGATTGTCACTATCAAACAAGGTGACCCTAATGAAATAGGAGGGAAAAAAAGGCAGCTACTGTCAATATTTTTCTGATTGTAGAATGATGTAGAATTACATTGGTCATATAGTCAAATATGCACATAGGAAAGTAATGTCCCATTCATTCTACTATCTCTCCTATTCCTATTCCCTGCCCCCTTCCCTTCATTCCCCTTTGTTTAATCAAAAAAAAAAAAAAAAGAAAAAAGACAGCCCCCTCCAGAAGTGACATCATTGTTCATATTATAAAAATGACAAATGCTCCTCTCTTGGATGAAATCCATGACTGTTGCATCTTTACCAATTACAACGTTACCTTTTTTTTTTTTCCTGTTCTTTCTGCCTCTTGGATAAGATTTATTGAGATGCATAATCATAGAATTGTCCCTCTTGCTGACACCCTGCAATTCACAGCACACTGCTACTTCCTTGAAACTTCCCCTAAGTTGCTGGACACAAGCTCAAATCCTAAAATAAGCCCTTTATTACATCCTCTGAGTGCCCACCCTAGTTGTTTCTGCGTGGATTGTACCCTCACTAGCATCAGTCAAATCCGTTTGACTCTGGGTGGGTTCCTGGTGCTTTTAAAAAATTTTTTTCTTTTGTTTGTTCTTATTAGTTATATTATAGTAAAATGTTTTTGACATCTTATATATATAGAGAGTATTAATTTTCATTTTTCTGATTGTAGAATGATGTTTAATTACATGGGTTATACAATCAAACATAGGATAGTAATGTCTGATTCATTCTACTATCTCTCCTATTCCTATTCCTCCTCCCTTCCCTTCATTCCTCTTTGTCTAATCCAAATTATTTTTGTTCTTCTCTACCATCTCCTTATTGTGAGTTAGCTTCTAAGTGAAATAAGCCAATAAGTGAAATAAGCCAAAAACCAAAGGCATAATGTTTTCTCTGATATCAGATGCTAACTCCTGGTGCTTTTTGATTAATGAGCATCAACTCTTTAGATGGCCAGGTCCTACCACAACAGGGGGAAGGAACACTTGTTGCAATAGTGCTGGCCTTGCTGTTTAACCTCATACTCGTGGTGTTAGCTAACCTTGTGAGGTCAAGGGTATAGAAATTAATTTCAGGTTACACTGATCTTTCCACCTTTCCACTCTTTCAAAATAGTTAATGGAAAAAAAAAACACAACTGAACAAAACTGCAAACATATTTACCTGGAGGAGTTGAAGATCCCCTTCAAATGTCTGTGGATCATAGCATGGATAGGGAATTGCCTTTTGAATAGAAAATACTTGGTCAAGTTTCTCTTTAGGGGATGTAGAGTGGGCCCCAAGAATAATTTGAGGATTTTCCTTCCTAAAAAGAAGAACAACAGCATATAACTTATGCATGACAATGGATAAAGTTAAATTGTGGACTTAGTTTCTTCAAGTTTGATCAGTGTTTTTAAATGTCTCCCTATTTATAAATAAGCACAGCAAGACTTGGGTGTTTTAGTGCCTCTACTTCAAATCTCAAGATGTGTATTGGTGGACATTGCTTCAACCTCACTGCATCTTTTCTTTTTTTTTTTAAATTTTTTATTAGTTGCTCAAAACATTACAATGATCTTGACATATCATACATTTGATTCAAATGGGGTATGTAATCTTAATCTTTTTTTTTCCACGTGTACAGATTACAGGATCACATTGGTTATACAGCCACGTTTATACATAGGGCCATACTAGTGTCTATTGTACTGTGCTGCCTTTCCTATCCTCCCTTCCCTCCCCTCCCCTCTTTCTACCCAATCTACTGTGACACATTTCTCTCTTTTTTCTTCCCCCTCACACCATCTTATATGTAATTTTGCATAACAATGAGGGTCTCCTACCATCTTCTGTGCAATTTCCCTTCTCTCTCCCATTCCCACGCACCTCTCGTCCCTATTTAATGGTAATCTTCTTCTCATGCTCTTCCTCCCTGCTCTGTTTTGAGTCGCCCCCCTTATATCAAAGAAGACATTCTACATTTGTTTTTTAGGGATTGGCTAGCTTCACTTAGCATAATCTGCTCTAATGCCATCCATTTCTCTGCAAATGCCATGATTTTGTTGTTTTTTAGTGCTGAGTAATATTCCATTGTGTATAAATGCCACATTTTTTTTATACATTCATCTATTGAAGGGCATCTGGGTTGGTTCCACAGTCTAGCTATTGTGAATTTTGCTGCTATGAACATTGATGTAGCTGTGTCCCTATTGTATGCTCTTTTTAGGTCTTTTGGGTATAGTCTGAGAAGAGGAATAGCTGGGTCAAATGGTGGTTCCATTCCCAGCTTTCCAAGGAATCTCCATACTGCTTTCCAAATTGGCTGAACGAATTTTCAGTCCCACCAGCAATGTACAAATGTACCCTTTTCCCCACATCCTCACCAGCACTTGTTATTGTTTGACTTCATAATGGCTGCCATTCTTACTGGAATGAGATGGTATCTTAGAGTGGTTTTAATTTGCATTTCTCTGATTGCTAGAGATGGTGAGCATTTTTTTTTTTTCAAGGGAGACAACAGGAATGGAGGCCCAGACCTTCTGGCAGAGGCAAGAGCACTGGCTGGAGAGACCTGGAGAGGTTGCTGGGCTCCAACTTGGAGTGGGGGCTTCCACTGGGGTAGACAGTGCTGGAGGTCCCCACGAGAGGGAGGTGGGCTCTGCCATTTGGAGGCTGAAGGAGCAGCTGACAGTTTCTTCATCTGCTTTAGATTTGTGGAATAAAACCTTCCCCCATTGGCTTCTAGGTTGTTGACACCTAATGGAAATGAATAAACTCAAGAACTAAAGCAGAAGTACGTGGTTTACTTTTCTGGGCTTTAGGGAAATAGTTTGCCTTGCTGAAGTCTTTAAAGATAAGAAAGGTTGACCTGAGTCATGCTTTTTAGAGGCTGGAATGAAGAAAGGAATCTTGGTTTGGATTTTTTAAAATTTGTTTTTAGTTGAAGATGGACACAATACCTTTATTTTTTTATTATTTATTTTTATGGGGTGCTAAGGATCAAACCCAGTGCCTCACATATGCTAGGCAAGTATGCTACCATTTAGCGCTACAAACATGGCCCAGAACAGTGGTTTTATAGTTAAAATTTAAAGCCAGGTTTTTATAAATACATGCATGCATAGGACACACACACACACACACACACACACACACGCACACATACACACACACACCACATAGAGAAGCAAGCAAAACTAGAGCTAGCCATAAATCTAGTTTATGAAATTAATAATAGCTATTACAGAAGAGGGGGGCAAATCTTTTCTTCAAATAGGCCTATTATTTAAGTGTATCAGTAGCTAATCCCTCCCTCACCTCCTGTAAATTAAGCTGATATTCATCCCTGACAAATTCTTATTTTACACAATATAATGTAAATCTATTTGAATCTCCTTTGTAAGAAGCTCATTTTTAATTATCTGTTTTGTTCATGCAATTTGTATAAGAGAGAAAAGAGAAGTGACAGGTATTGTTACCAATAACAGGTACTGATTAAGAAAACAGCAGTATATCTACACGATAAATACTATTCTGCCTTTCAAATTATGACTAGGAAAACTATTTGTCTAAGCCATAGGAAATTGCTATTTTTTAAAAGTTGAACAAATAGCAGTAATTTCATATGGACCGGCCAATCATAGGTGACATTTAATTTGTTCAACCTTGTAAATTATGCTTATGAAAAAAGTCTGGGACAAAATATACCAAAATACTGATGGTGATTGTGTGGGGTTGATGAGATCAAGTGTTATTACTTTTAAACTTTCCTATTAAAAATATTCAATAATGCTGTTATTTATAATTTAAAAATAACAAATAATATGAGAAAATGGTCAGGCATTTCATTCTTACTCTTCAGATTCTGTCTTTTGCTCAGAGGTAAATGTTATAATAAGACATAACACTGAATGTGCTTGCCTGCTTTCTTCTCCCTCTTAAATTTTGGTTTTGGACTTGATAGCCATTTCCACTTCCCTGCATCAACCTTGAGAATGAGAGGGACTGAGATTACTTACAGATCACAGTGAGCAGCTGTCAGCACCCAGTTGTCTTTGATCAAAGCCCCTGCACAGATTTCCAGCCCTTTGATAAGAGCCATGTAACGTCTTGCATGAGGTGATACTTCTTTTCCTCCTATAATTCCTTCGCAGGATTCTAGAAAAACTAAAAGAGTGATCCAGAGTGAAATCTTACCTTGCACAGTTATCCTTGTCTTGAGAAAACTTGTCTATAGTGAATAGATTCAGTGGGAGTTCATAGCCATGTACTTTGATGAAGAGAGGACCAAGCAATCCAGGTGGTGGTGGGGGGTACTTTCTTCTCTAGCACTCTCCTCTGTGATTGCATCCCCTGCAGCACTTCATGTGCAACAGTGTTTTTAAATTAAATGTAGTACTTGTTTTTTGTGTTAATTTTATCATAAGCATACATTCCTATTACTTTAGGCCTAAAGCTTTTTTTTTTTTTTTTTTTACTGCCACATGTTCAAATTGATTTCTCTCTCTGTGTCATGTTAGGGTAAAAAAGATAAATGTATAGAAATGCTCCTTTTTCTGTTATGTTTCTCAAACTTTAGTGTAATCATAATTGAGTACTTCTTAAAATGTGGATTTTCTAGACCCATCTCCAGAGAGTTTAGTTTAGTACCAGAGAACCTGCATTTCATTTTTTTTTTCTCCTTTTCTTTTCTTTTTTTTCACTCTTGGTACCAGGGATTGAACCCAGATGTGCTTAACCACTGAGCAACATCCCCAGCCCTTTTCTTTTCTTTTTTTTTTTTTTTTTTTTTAAGTTTTGAGATCAGGTCTTGCTAAGTTGCTTAGAGCCTGGTTAAATTGCTGAGGCTGGCTTTGAACTTGGGATTCTTCTGCCTCAGCTGCTGGGATTACAGGTTTGTGCCACCATGCCCGGCTGGAACCTGCATTTTGAATCATTTGGAATCATTCTAGGATCTCTTTTCTAAGCAATCTTCACACTCCCTTTTTTCCATGCAATTATTCCACAATAATTTTTGAGTAACTACTGTTAAAATGGTGCAAAGATGAATGAAACATCATTCTTGACATTGACAAGCTTTAGTAGTAGAAACATGCAAAGAACAAAGCTGTGGATAAATACATAAAGAATGACAATGCTCGAAAGTGCCTGGAGAGGGTCACAGGAGGAGCTGCAGGGCTCAAAAAATGCCTTTGTCAGGAAGGTGGTGAGGTCTCTGTGAGGAATGTTTTTTCCTTGAAGGAGATTGGAAAGTGGTATAATATCCTTAGTAGGTGGAGCTAGAGGAGATTTCAAGTTAGGTGTGATATAATTAAAAGTCATCATGGTCAGGCATTATGAGAGTGAAGCAGATCATCTACAAGTAACATTAGACTAAATTTAACAATTCATCATGTTTAAATGCTTTTGAGGGACAGATTTGTCATGTGTCTTAGAGCTAGTCCTTAACATTTTAACTGTTAGCGAAGTGATTTTTATTTTTAAGCTCCAACTTAAATTGTTCCTTAATAATTTAAAACATTTTTAACATAATATTTATTTCCTGTATTTATCACTGCTTAAAATACAGGTAGGAATTGTCCAGCAATTTCTTTCTTTTTCATTTTTTGGTACCAATGACTGAACCCATCCCCAGCCTTTTTATGTTTTATTTTGAGACAGGGTCTGCTAAGTTGCTTAGGGACTTGCTAAATTGCTGAGGCTGACTTTGAATTTATGATTCTCCTGCCTCACTCCCTAATGCTGGGATTACAGCCATGTGCTACCATGCCCGGCTGGTCCAGCAATTTCTTTTTTTTTGTGGGGCTGGGGATTGAACCCTGTGCCTTGTGTGTGTTAGGCAAGAACTCTACCAACTGAGCTATATCCTCAGCCCTTCAGAAATTTCTTAAAGATCAAGAAACCAAAAGATTAAAGACCCAGTAACACATAGTCAGGACAGAGTGGGAAGGACCCCCCTTCTCCCGACCCCCTACCCTTCAAGGTTGTCACTTCTAAGGACAGGATTATCTCAATCTCAGGCTGAACACTGTGTTATTAGCCTTAAAAAATCTCACAATATTCCATAAAAGGTTATTATTTGGAATGTTAGTTTAGTAAGTTATATTAAAAACAAAGAAAAAAATCAGCAACTATGGTAACAGTAATGAAGACATTTAAAATATACCAGACCCTGTTGTTAGTGTTAGACACTCGATATAATACTACAATAGAAAGTGGGTATTATTATTTCCATGTATATAAAAAAGATGAAGTAGACAGATTAACTATCCCAAGTTCACACAGCTAGTGATGGCAAAGTGATGTTCTAGCCCACTGGTGCATAGTGCAAAATCCACATTTTTTCCCCTTGTTAATCACTGCTTCTTAAAATATTGGCTCTTTTTTAAATACAGAGTTGTGAGAAACTGATAAAATAAAATACACATATTCAAGTAAGTATTTGCATTCAGTGTCAAGATTCAGAATTTTTAATGCCTCAGTAAGGCTTTGAATGAACTTATAGATCCCACAATAGGAATCCCAGCTCTGAAGGTATCACTGAACTCACTCTCTCTCTCTCTATATATATCTATATCTATATCTATATCTATATCTATATCTATATCTATATCTATATATATATATCATAGTAATCTGGTCTTGGTTCCTCATATGTAAAATGTGGCTGATAATAATAGTTAAGAAGATTAAATGGGTTAATATGTGAAAATCAATTAGAATATTACTATTTTAATTGTGAGTTTTATTAAGCATTCACACACACACACACATACACACACATTATAGTAGGTAATTTTATAGCAATGTTTTTCTTCATGGACCCTGCTTCCCTACTAGAAATGGACATATCTACAAACAAACCCTGAAATTAAAAGTTTTAAGGTTTATTTGAGAGCAATGACATTTAATTATATTTGTATGATTGAGAGGTCCAGTTAATAAGTAAACTATTCATATCTAATTTAATGGCTTTGTCAATTTTTCACTTAAAGACTTTGCTCTGTAGATCTGATCTGGATTTATAAGAGCTACCAGATACAGTTAATGTTTTCATATTTTGCTATGGTTACATAGGATACATTTTCGTAAAAAGCCAAAGTGATTTTTAAGTGAAGACAAAGGGTTGCATTAAAAATGGTTGGAATTTATTATTTATTTTTCCTTTTCATAGGATGTAAATTAAACCAATCAGATACCCACTTTCTCACAAATGAAACTAAAAATCATATGAAAATATGTCTTACCTCCAGGAAGTAGAAGAAGAAAGATGGCAGTAGGGAAAGAGAAAAGAGAAGGCATTTTCATTGCCTGTGTTATCCACACTATGGAGAGCATTCAGTTTCAGGTATAGACTTTAATAATATATAATAAACACCCAGGATGTGGTTCTCTCTCTCTCTCTCTTTCCTTCTTTGCTGTGGTGTTGAAGATTTTGGTGTTTTATTACTGGAAAACACAACCTTAATCTGTGGTATGGTTACTTACTTGTTTCACAGTAAGGTCATTTCCTTTGGGTTTAGATGTCTCCGACCTTAAAGGGCAAATGTGAAGTGATGAGACCATGTCAACTTAAGAATATTAAAATGAAAACTATTCTTCAAATGAAGCCATTCAATTAAAAATGGGCCAAGGGGTTGTGGCTTAGTGGTAGAGTGCTTGCCTGGCATGTGTGAGGCACTGGGTTTGATTCTCAGCACCACATATCAATAAATACATAAAATAAAGGTCTGACCAAAAAAAAAAAAATGGGCTAAGGATCTGAATAGATGCTTGTCAAAAGAAGACACACAAATGGCTAGCAATCATATGAAAACATGTTCAACATCATGAGTCACCAGGAAAATGCAAAACAAATCTACAGTGAAATTTTATCTTACTTCAGAATGACAATCATTATAAAGACAAGAAATAACAAAGGGAGGCAAAGATGAGGACAACTCTTATACATTGTTGGTAGAAATATAAATTAGTAGAGTCATTATGGAAAGCAGTATGGAGAGTTCTTAAAAAACTAATAGTAGAATACCATATGCTCCAGCATTGGATATGTATCCAAAGACAATATTTTACCAAAGGGATATTTGCACTCACGTTTACTGCAGCACTGCCACATAGCTAAAATATGGATCAACCGAGTTGCCCATCAGTGGATAAATGGATAAAGAAAATGTGCTATAAATACAAATGGAATATTATTCAGCCATAAAAACAATGGAATCCTGTCATTTGGAGCAACATGGATGGAATTGGAGGTCATTCATTATGATAAATGAAGTAACCTAAATACATAAAGACAAATACCCCTTGTTTTCATTTGTGGAAACAAAAATGAATTTCATAGAATGGAGTAGAAAAGTGTTTACTATAGGCTGAGAGGGCACAGAAGGAAGTTAATTAGGGGCACCAAAACACAGGATGAATTAATTCTGATTTTCTATAGCCAAGTAGAGTAAAAACTGGTTAAAACAATCTATGATGTATTTCAAACTGTCTAGAATTTAGAGTATGAAATTCCTAACACACAAAGTAATTAATGTTTGAAGGAACGGAAGTGCTCGTTACTCTGATTTGATTATTACACATTGTATACACATATAATATTATTATAAACCACAAAGATGTACAAATATTATGTTTCAATAAAAAATTTCCAAAAAGGACATTGCTCTCCTTTGAAAACTTTTTCACTTTCAAATAAGACCTTATTTCAGAGCTGAAAATTTAAGTTGTCTTAGCATGTTTTGTGCTGCTTATAGAATGCTGGAGACTGGTTGATTTATAAACAATAAACACTTTACCCTACATTCCTGAAGGCTGGAAGTCCTTGCCCATATCTGGCAAGAGTCTGCTTGCTGCATTATAACACAGTGGGAAGCATCATTTTTCTGGAGAAAACCTTGCTCAGTAAAAATGTAATTTAAAACTCTTAGGTATTATATTTTTCTGACAAATTTCTAAAGGTTAAAAAACAAAAAGAATACTTTCTGTGGTTGGGAATTCTTGTGTGTTGATTGTATTTCAAACTGCTACTATCTTTTTGGTGGAAGAGAGTAGCATATAAAGGGCTATTAAGTTTTTTGGTCTTTTTAACATTTTTATTTGTTCTTTTAGTTATACATGACAGTAGAATGTATTTTGATGTAACATACATACATGGAGTATAACTTCCCATTCTGTGGTTGTGCATGATATAAAATTACACCGGTTGTGTAACCTAACAAGTCATGTCTATGACTTGAAAAAAATTGGAACATACATTAAAATTTAGCTATAAGAAATTCTACTGCATTATTTTTCATAATGAAAGAAAGTTGAAAACAATCTAAATGGATTAACAAAGGATTGGGTAAGTGTGTTAGTTTCCTATGGCTTCTGTAACAAGGACCACAAACTCGTTGGTGGCTTACAACAATGTGTATTTATTATTTTACAGTCTGTAGGTCAGAAGTCTGATTTGGGTCTCACAAATCAAGGTGTGGCAAGGCAGAGATCCTTTCTGGAGGCCGTGGCCTTTTCCATCTTTCAAAGACGGCCCATGTTCCTTGGTTTATGACCCCATCACACCTTCAAAGCCAGCAATGGCCAGTGGAGTCTTTCTCACATCATATTACCCTGACACGGACTCTTTTGCCTATTGCTTCCACTTTTAAGGGTCCTTGAGATTGCATTAAAGACCCTTGAAGTGAATTGATTATAATATTAATTCCAACCCACAATCTTGCTTTTTGTTATGTGAACTAACATTCACAGGTGCTAGAAATTAGATTGTGGGCACCATCCAAAAACAGCCAGCATGATGGAATGGAAGAATGGACTAAAAAGGCTCAAGAAATGTGGCAGCTGAGGAAAACTTCTGGTGGGTTTGAGATGTTGAGACAATGGCTCACATGTGATGATGTGTCTCCTAAAACTAGAATTTGGGAATCTCTACAGATGAAGACACGGGAGTGGTTCCTCTCATCAAGACCCCCTGTGAACCTTCTGCATATTTTTTTTTCTGTCTCTATGACATTGGGTTCTGATGGGTTTAGAGGTCCTGGTGACTCTTCTGTTGGGACAAAATAAAGCACTGAGAGCTCTATTGAACAGGAAGTGAGAATAATGGGCCAATTTAGGGTTCTCATGCCAGTGAAGTAGCAGGGAAAGAACAGACTTACTCTGCTGGGATGAGGTGATTGCAGTGGACTGGCTTATCACAAGGGAAGCGTAAGTGAGCTGGGTGAACATGGGAGAGTGTGTATGGAACCCAGGGGCATTCACTGGGTATCACTGGTACTTTTGTGCCCAAGGACAATGGTGAAAGAGCAGTTGCAATGCTATGACCTGATAAAGGCAAGGACTTAGGTTCCTTGTAGAAGAAGGTCTGGGTCATTAAATGAGGAGAGAACCCAAGAGCAACCAAATTGCTGGCTATAGTTGATAAAACTTTGGATTGGGTGGCAGAGAAGGGAGATGAGGCATTTCATTGACTGATGGTGGCAGAAGAGATCATAGCTTTTCCTACCATCTTACCTCAAGTCTTTTTAGAGATTGTCACTGGTCACAAACCTGGAGGAGACTCTGCCTGCATGTCTACCACCCTCTAACTAACTCTTCACAGGTACCAGGGAATCCTATTCTCTCAAAAATGGACGTACCATGTAGTATTGTATAGAGGCCAGTCATAATGGGAGGACACTAAGAACGTGTATTACATACATTTGAGTATAGCTTTGGTGATCTCTGTTTTATGTGCCTGGGCCACTTACTCCCTCTGAGCTGTCATTTCAGCCACCAGCTCCATCTGGGTTACAACCAGCATCACATAGATGCTACCCAATGTTGCCATAACTAGACCCTCACAGTATATTTCTCATTTCTGCCTCTTACTTTCTCCATTGCCACTGGGATGTGGGGTGTCAAAGTATCCTCCTAGTACCCACACATAAACCAGAAGTGAAGAGGGGGCAGGAAATGCCCTGAGAGGAAACTGACCCAGTGAGACCACCAGTGTAAAAATTCTCATTTTCCTGCCCTAGGTAGACTAAATTGGGGTTGTTGTTCAAATAGAACCCAGAAAATGGTCCAGTGAGATAAAGTATCACTGCACCTCACACCAGAGGAGGCCATCATGGCAGGACACCCTGCAGAGACTTCTTGCCTGCCTCTCATTTGCCCTTGCTTCACTGTGGTCACACTGCTTAAGAAAACAGCAGCTTCTGAGCTTGTGCCTCAGGCTCTGCTTTTTGGAGGTAATTGCTATAAACAAAACTGGTTAGCTAATATTATTATTTTGTTTATGTTGTATATATACACATACATGTAAAAATTCACAAGGAAAAAAATCTGAGAACATGTTTTATTTAATACCAGATCAAGTTGACAATCAAAATTGACCATTACAATGTATACACACACACACACACACATAATGTCACCCTGCAGAAGGGAAGCTCTCTTAATGTTACTTATATTTTCTCATAGTCTTTCTGTCCCTTTGTCCATCCTTTACCCACATAACAATTCACAGTTCACCAGTCTTTAATGAGGCTATCTTGTATTCCAGGCACTACAATAAGCTTGAAAAGTAAATATTGCATTATCAAAATGGTAGGATAAATACCATTTTGGAACTGATGTGGAATAATTTTGTTAATGTATGGAATTGATATATAATATGATTTCAAAAAAGTGCTTCAGTTAATATATATTTGATTAGGTGTCTCATATATACTGGGCTCACTGCTGTATGAAGACGTGAATCCTGGGGCTGGGGATATAGCTCAGTTGGTAGAGTGTTTGCATCGCATACACAAAGTCCTGGGTTCAATCTTCAGCACAAAAAAAAAGAAGAAGAAGAGGTGCTTAGGACCTAGATTATGTGGGGAAATAAAAAGCCAGCTTACTGTTTCGGGAACCTCAGTGTGGGAAGTAGTTGGAGATTAGGTTAGAGAGCTGGAAACATTATGGAGACTTTTAGCACCATGATAAATGAGGTCCATGGACTGTCATAGGACAAAGTGGGAGCCAGCAAAGGGTTTTAAGTGGGCACAGGATTCTGTCTTCATTAAAGAGGGACCAATCTGGTACCAATATGGAGGCAATGCCAGCTCCTGAGTGTCTGTACATAAGAGGTTTCTGGGACAGCAATCTGCTGGAAGTTGGGAATTTGGAAATTGTCTTGGAGCAATGTTTTCATAGCAATATCCAGTTTTAACTTAGAGCAAGAGATTATTCAGAATGGGGTGCTTAGCAGAGGGGATGGCAGAAGCCTCATAGTATGGGGAGAGGCTGAAAGTTCAGTGATGGAGGAGTGGGTGAGCCTA